GAGAATAAGCATAAAGCTCATCTGATTTGAGTAAATAATGGGACAGGTGTACGTTGGAGGAGATTTGGGTGAAGTTATAAAATTCAGAAAGTATCGGTAGGAGGTAAGCAGTAGGAAATTAAATCTAATTTTAAGAAATTAGGTATTTATGTTGCATGTGATTCTGATTCTGATATTGATATGATATTATGTGGAATCATTTGGTCAGTGCATCTATATATGTATATATGTGTGTGTATATGCATGTGTGAAACTTCGTTTTACGATATTTGACATACGTATTTGATCGTGTTGGTGAATTTATGAAAAGGAGGATAGGTGGGCCGTCTCACCAGCCCTTTTCATTAAATTCACTTATTGACATGCTGCACACATCGCACGATTTATCGGATATGTTTTATGGATCTATCGTTTAGTCGCCGTGTGCGGTAGTACTAGGCGAGGGCATCATCTGGGGTTAGGATATTCGACCCCGATGTACCGTAACACTTTGGCGATAGTGGACGATAGTAGTCGGACAACTGGGTGACTTAGTCGCACGGTCATTCAGGGATTAGACCCATTGCAGTTGAGACGTATTTGGTCTAATCATTCGTGTTCGGTGTTGTTCCACTCATTGGAGTAGCTACTAGTGAGGTCTACCGGTAGTTTAGGATCATATGCCAAACTCCAAACGCGATCCCGTTAGGGCGTGCGAGGAGGAGTAGAGTTCCCGGGTTTCCTTCGGGTGATTCCAGGTTGCACGGATTCTACTACGTTACACGGGGTAGGGCTAGACAGGAGGGTCCTATCTTCGCTATCACAGACTATGGGGTGTCTTGTGGTTAATGGCGACAACGCTCGGCTATCCATGTATTGATTGCGGGAGTCGTATGGTGGGTATATGGAAGTGACCGGGTGACCGTTATATTATTATGGGTTTACCAGGTCCTTCCTTGAGCCGAGGATTTTCCGGCTATTTATTGATGATAGTCTAGTGAGCTGTTATTATGGAGCCGAGGTTATTCCGGCTGCTCACTTTGACATATGTATATGGGTATATGTGCATGAGTTGTCGATTTTGACATTATTGTTACATTATTTCAGTATGGGCATGGCATGGCATTTATTTTGCAAATGACGGAAATTAAACTCTATTTTCGAGCATGACATGGCATATTTTATGTTAGTTCTTAAAATGGATTTAATTCTAGACTGCTTTTAAGAAAAATATTTGATTCAGGTACGCATGGCACCTCCGGGACAGGGGACGTCTCGGGAGATAGAAAGACGGGCTGAATGAGTGAACTGCATCTGATGTATTATATGTAAACTCTAACTAGAAAAACCTCCCGTTTTGGGAGTATGTTTTTGTAAATATTTATAAACTATTTTTTTTTGGGAATAATAAATTGCTTATATAATTAATTTTAGCCTTAACACTGTGTTGTGGGGCCCGAAGTAGGAGGTGACGACCTCATGATGCAGTGTGGCGGTAGCATTTCCAGTATGAGCCAACTGGGGGTGTTACAGGGATGACATGTGGTCGCCCATATTTTAAGCACATATCCATTTATTTCTTAAAAATGTTGTAATTTTGTGTCTTTGTGGATTGGGTTAGTTTATTCCTTCATTTATTTTGCATTTTTTTGTCGTATTCTTTGAAATAAATGTACTAATTTTGATGACATTTTATTCGATCCGTTCTAAACTTCAATTTTATTGTCGACACAAATTTTTTGCACTCAGTTGGTTGTGGACCCCACAATAATGAACAATTTAGTGACATTTATACATGGTTTTATGGGTATACTGAGTGGAAGGGGCCATGTTGTTACAGGGATGGCAAGACTGTTTGGTATTCGAGTATCGATAAGGATCGGATTTAATGTGGTGCTCTCTTGAATATGTATTACTCGCACCGGAGGAATGGAAGGGGTTGTAGAGCTCACACACTGAAACCCCATTAGCAGTCATGGTGCTAATATTTGGGGTCCAGTTTATAAGATTTGATGCAACGACGATGTTCTGTATATGTTCAAGATCCACTATGGAATAGATGTAATTTCCATATATCCGATGATAAAGCAACGCCAATGAGGGTATACAATGAGTACGGACACTCATAAGGAAACCTGAACCGGATGTATATTTTCTTGAATGGCATAGCAAAGTAGGGCAAAATAGCGGTCCAGCTTACGCAGCTGTCAAGCAAGACAAAGACGGTGAGGATAGTGGTGATTATGTGGATGATGAGAATGACGAGGAGGATAAGGATGGTAATGATGTCGATGATGAGGATGACGAGGACGAGGACGAGGACAGTGAGGGTGGTGGTGCTGATGATGTTGATGTTAACGATGAGGAACGATGTAGTGGTCATGGATGATGTGCGGGATTAGGAATGACGATTTTTGAACCGAAGTAGTTGAGGACTTAACTGGTGGATTTGATCCACATGAGAAACAAGTAGATCAAAATGAGAAATGAATTGCACGGTAAAAAACGGACATAGAGAGCAGTGGTAATGATGATGAGAGTTAGGGGATGATAATACAAATAAGAGTTTCAAGTACATGGATGTTGGGAAACTGGCGTGGATTGATTACAATGAAGAATTGGAACTCATAGTTGGCGTGAGGTGGAGCATGCCAACCCTGTTGGTAAGATCTACTACCATTTATGAATTTTCTTCTTGTTTTCTTGTTGTTACATACGTTGATGCTCATACTTTTATATAAGAATTCAATCAAGATTTGAGAAATCAAAAAATATTTCTTTTATTTTCCTAACTATGTTGCTGATAATATCCTTTACTGTGTAGACGAGGGTCATATAGATGACACACACAATACCAATGCCGAATAATATTTGGAGGATATACGAATTTATTGAGAGGGCAACCGAGAGACTGCATGTGAAATGGATAGTAACAATTCAGAGCGAGGCTCAGATAACATAGAGTGGGGAGTGAGGATGTGAAAGGGAATATTAGCTAAAATACTTCGATTATGGATAAAGACGGAGCGGATCCGTTTGACGATAATTCTCCGATGGATAAAACCCTTCAGGAGGATGAAAATGAGAGGGTTAAAGAGTATGAACATGGAAGTGGGGAATGCGGAAGCAGAGGGTTGGTTTAGTGACGGCTCGAGTGAAGAGAATGGGCTACTTTGTAGCCCAGTTGGATCAGACAACGCACGGGGTCCAACATTTAAGGAATGAGATGTGAACATAGACCTAGTTGCATGAGATTTGAAGGTCGGTATGAAATTTTTCAATCGAGAGAATCCACACTTTGAGAGGTTGCCCCACTGGTCGTGAAAGTTAGAAGTGGTTGTCCAAACAAAGTCCGTCGATGTGATGGGAACGACGAGCGACTTGATGGTAAGGCTTCTTGAAATGGGATGACGACTACTTGTTTAAAGTGCCTCTGGACTTAATTTTGACCCAATGAATGACATCTTTGTTGATAAATAAAAATTACAATGTGATACTCAAAGCCACAAGTTGTTAGACCGCTGAACACAAATAGATAAAAACTCATTCGTGTGGACACAATAATGCATTCGCAAAGAGATTATCAACTTTTCAAGAACAAAGATACATACACATTTCACTACCATAGACATTGCTTTCAAACCCAAAAATATTTTCACAAGAACCCTACATGTTACAAGAAGCAAATTAGGCAAAATGGCATCGGTCAAAAACAATAACAATTCAAAATTTCCCAAATTCATTTCAACCGAGATAAACATACACCAGAATTATCAAAACCCACTTCCCTCACTATAGAAAAGCAAATAATTTCATAAATCGAAAGGCTCGCCCCAACCCACCATCCGAAGGAGATGGAGAATATGTTTCACTCGGATCCTTTACAAAATACATTGAAATAGATCCTAACAAAATTTCAGGCACAACTCACCGAAATTCATTTTTTCACACTGAACTACTACTAAACTACTGGTGACGGAGAAAATGAGAAGAATAATGAAGAATCCATCCCTCGATCTGATAGACAGAAGTTCTCAAAACATAAAAGCAAATTAAGGGAAAAGCCCAAACGAAGAAGTGAAGTAGTTTGAAAACCAACTTACCTGAACGAGTAAAACACCTAACGACCACGGCAACGGGGGAGAGCGACAATTTCTGGTGCGTCGGAGCAGTAACGTGGAATGGAGATTACAATTTGGGGAGGCAAGAATAGATTATATTTAATAAAAGCATCCAAGGTCTTTTAGTAAGTTCATCTCACAATTATATCAGATTTTGTACTGAAAGTTGTACTTTCAGCGCATGAGATACAACTGCCGTTATGCCTAATGGAAAAAGGTTTTTTTTTGTAATATTTTGAAAATCATTTGTAGGTAATATGGAATTATAAGACCCGGTGAATTTTCAATAAATTACGAATATTAATAAAGAATTTTATGCTATTTTTTCTTTTTAATATAATATAAAATATAAATAATAAGTGTTCGATTTGAAGTTTTTGAATAAAAAAATGATAGAAAGTATAATAGGGGGCAAATCCCCGATCAAATGCACTCTATATTTTCTCAACATTTTTCAAACGTAAAATTACTTTATATTTTCTTATTTTGTTTTACATGTTTCAAAATTTATTATTTTTAAATAATAAAAATTTACATATATTTCGAAAACGAGAGTTTGGAATGAACAATTTTAAATAAAAAATGTAGATTAGAATAATTGAAGTGTCACTTTTATTGAGTTGTCAAAATACATTATGTACTTGAATTCTTGGCTACTAAAACTCTTGCGGCCCAGATCGTGCTGTGTCAAAAGTGGCACGGATAGCGTTGGTTGGATGTAACTACTGCATTTATTGAATTATTATTATTATTTCAAATAATAATAATATATATGTATATGCATATATGTGTATATATATATTATATAAAATTTAAAATTAAGTGTATGGAAATGCAGTTGTAAGAAAGAGGATAGTAAGTAGTCTCACATGAACATGCAACCAACAAAACCGTTGACAATTTAAAGCCTTTCTTTGTTGTTGGCCTTCCTCAGTAAAGTAGCCCAGTTTTAAAATCCGGCGTTGATGCTCCCGGGACCATGAACACCCGATGATCCTCGTCGTTCGATGCACGGGCCCCAGTCAAGATGAAGAACGCACCAATGCGAACAGTACACGTGTCCAGCCTCCCTCGTTATGTATGCAATCCTTGACGTAGAAATTAAAAAATGCATTCCGAGTTAATTCTTATTTGAATAATTAATTTTGTTTGTTGCATTATAATAATGCCATAAATAAAGAAATCGTCGTATCATAGAGAGTTGACTAACCTAATTAATTGCTTTCCATTTTATTTATTTATGTATTTTTAAGTGAAGAGAATTAACCGAAGCTCGTATTCGTGGATGGCCGCTGACCGGCACCGATCTCCCTCGTCGATCAATCAACCAGTCAGTCCATTTCCGTAGCCCATAATGAACAGTACCTCCGGCACCGGAGGAATCCTCAGCTCGGAGAACATCGGCGGCTTCGGGTACGGCATCGGAGTGTCCGTCGGGATCCTGCTTCTAATCACCACCATCACTCTCGCTTCCTACTACTGCACTCGGAACAGCACCGCCACCACCTTCGTCCTGCCGGAGAGGAATCCGGCGCCGGCGCCGGCGGATGAGCAGTCGCTGTCTCCGGCGGGCCTGGACGAAGCCACACTGACGAATTACCCGAAGCTGCTGTACTCAGAAGCCAAGGCGGCGGCGCAGAAGAACAGCACCAATTCCTCCACCGCCGCGTGCTGCTCAATCTGCCTGGCGGATTACAAGGGCGCCGACGTCCTCCGCCTCCTGCCGGACTGCGGCCATCTCTTCCATCTCAAGTGCGTCGATCCTTGGCTCCGCCTGCACCCGACCTGCCCCGTCTGCCGGACGTCGCCAATGCCCACGCCGCTGTCGACGCCGCTGGCCGAGGTGGTCCCGCTCGCCACCAGGCCGATCAGGTAATTAGATTTTTATTTTTTTTGAAAAAAAAAAAAAAAAAAACTTACGGAAGCCACTGAGAAATTTTATTCATCTTTTTTTTTTTTTAATATTTTGTACAATTGTAGATCTCTTAGATTTGGCTGGGTCCCCACCTTTAATTCCCGTAATTGGAATTTGGAATTGAAGTCTTTCTTCTTAGTCGCCTACATTACCAGATTTTTTTGTACACTAGAGACGAAATTAAAAATAAAATTACATGAACTATTTGAAATTTAGAGACAAAATTCTGTTATAAATATATATATATATTTTTTTTTTGTACTGATTCATTTATTACAAAAGCTTAGGTTTCAATTTGTAACACACAGAGGGCATCTGGTTTATATATGATACTGAAATATTGATGAATAACTGGGCACAACAACAATAGCTGATTATACAACATAGTTTGTATGAACTATTCATCGTCTAAATTTGGATATTTATTCATGATCGGGAAGAAGGTTACAAAAATGGCGATTATAAACTTAGTAGATAGAGCCAAACTCGGCTGCACGTTAGAGTTCTTTTTTTTTTTTTTTTTCTTCATTCTTTTTTCGCTCGCATTATAAGTTCAATTTGATTTAAAACCATATTGGGTGTAATCAAATTAATTTGAGCTCTTACCTTGCTATTGCTAAGGGGAAGAAAATATATATTATGCATATGTAACAAATAGTTTATTCATATAAGACCAATACTGATCAAGTTTTGGTATTGATTAGAGCTCTAAAATTAATTCCATTTCTACTTCTCTTCTATGTTTTTTATTATGTTTTTGGCTGTGTTGGCACTTGAAATGTTTTGATGGCTTATCGAATTTAGCTGATCGGAAAACATGAGGTAGCTAGGTTCTCTAGATTCCACAAAAAAAGCATGTTGAACCTTGTCGATCTATCGATATGTGGAAAATAAATTGGAATGCAATTGAAAACAAACAAAACTGAAATGAAAAAAAAAAAAAAAAAAAACTCTGAAAATGGGGGAAGAATTTGGATTCAAAATGCAATTAAAAATATACGAGAGAATGAACTAATACATAGATAATTCCAAAATAGCCCAACAATACATTAATGTCTTGGTTACACATAAAGCGTCCATTATTTTCATTTTGATCCGTCCTAAATAACTTTTCTTTTATTTTTTGAAAAATAATTATACACTTTAATTATCTTTTAAATTTTACTCCCTCCGTCCCAAATCAATTGGTTCATTTGATTTGAGGCACCGTATTTAAGGTAAAGAATTTAATTTAGATAATAATATTGAATTTTTGATATTATTTTATTATATTTTAGTATGAGTAATTTTATTGCTAGTTTTAATATATATGATTAAAACAAATTTAAAATGTGTTAAAATATTTTAAATATTATGGAGTGAGTCAATAAAATATATGCAATATAAATATAATTTCGTAGAGAATAAAATTTTAAATAATACAAATAAACAAAAATATATATTTATTTATTTATAATTAAGATAAAAACTAATTTTATAAAAGAATAGAAGTTTTAAATGTAATAAAAATATTTGTTTATTGAAAAGATAAAAATAAAGAAGTTTTAAGTGGGTCTACGTGATGTATTATGTTACTCCCTCATTCTCATATATTTTGGGCCTATTAGATAAAGTATAATTGGTAGGTAATTAAAAATTGTATTAGTAGAAATAATTATTATTTAGTAAAAGTAATTATAAATTAAGATTAAGATAAGTAACTAGTTTAATTAAGATAAAAAAAACATTATTAAATTTAAAATTTAAAATATGATTAAAGGGGATAATCATATTTCCAAAAAAAGAAATGACAAATTACGTGAGACGAACGAAAATAGAAAATAAGTACAAATTATGCGGGACGGAGGGAGTATATGTTATTAAGTTAATTAAATTGATTTATAATTGTAAATTATTAATAGATTTAGTAAATTTTACTAAAAATAAAAATGTGTCAATTGAAGTGAGACGGACAAAAAAGAAAAAAATGAGACAATTGAAATGAGACGGAAGAATTATAATATATAATTTTTTTAATTTTAATTAAATTATTTAATTATTTTAATCTTAATATATAATTATTGATATTATATAATAATTATTGTTATTAATAAACTTCTTAATCATTTACAAAATATAATCCTTCTAAATTACCATACACTAAATTGGACACTTTATGAGTAAGAATTAAAAAAAAATGGGAGCAAAAACAAGAAAGATTATGCTGTTGAATGAGATTGACTTCTTTCTTTTTATTTGTCAATGTTAAAGCATGGATATCCAATTTTCTTCCAATTTCCTTATAGCTTCACTCCTATACCCATTTCAACATTGATTGAGAGCAACCACAGTGGTTGTTTTATCCAAGAATTTTGTGTTTGAATGAAAGTTTTTTTCGACAATTTCTAAAATAAAAGGGTACAATTGTCTTTGTATTTATGGAAAAATATGTTGATTGTATAAGAAATTTGATTTCAGAAAAATCCAAAATTATTGATCTGAAGTTCCAAAATCGAATATCAAATTAAAATCGAATTTGAGCCTCACGTGGATGCGATTTTCTTGAAGCGAATCCGGTCTGCCACCGATCGTCTTCCAGATAGAACGAATTAATCGGGATAACGAATTCCCTAAACCGAAACAGGAAATAGGAATTTCATAGAGATTTCGCAAAGTTTTTGAGAGAAATTTTTTGGAACAAAAAATTACGTATGGAAAAATTTCAGAGAGAGTTATCAAATTAGTCGAGGAAGTTCTCTTTTCGTAGGAGTTTTTGGATATATATTATATAATCGAAGAGTCTTTCACCCGCCACTATAATATTAGCATCACATTGTAACATCAGTTGCAACAAATTAATTTAACTGTTTCAAGTCAAATTATTCAAAATCAAAATTAATTTAAAATTGGATTTAATTCTATTGGGCTCGGCCTACATGGCCCACGAGCCCCACGGCCCCAATGCCCATCTTTGATATATATATCCCAAACCAAAGCCCAAGCTTAAGCCCAAACATTGGCCCAATTCAATCGATGCTCCAAATTTCTTTTTATTAATTATGCAGTCTATTACAATATATGGTAGGTGAACTTTGTTTCATCTTCCCATGTGGGACAATGTCCTTCCATTTTCTTTTCTTCTTTCACCAATACATCCTACAATCCCCCGCATGAAAGATGAAACGATGAATAATGAATTTTGAATAGGATAAATATGTTTTCCTTTGAACTTTCCTTAACCAGTACATAGCTTTGCCACATATTCAGTAAACATGTTGTCCTTGAACTATTCAGTTTTTCCAGTAATTAAACTACATACCGACTCAGAATTCATGTTCCTAGTTCGGTTCTCATTGTTTGGTCCGTTTTGGCCATGGAACCCATCCTGGTTCTGTGAGAGTTTTTAAAGACCTGAGCCTGAATAATTCTTCTTTGAAACAACCCCACTTATCTCTGAGTTATGAGAGTTAGAAATTATTTGGTTGAACGACCCTAGGTGACATTTCTAAGTTTTTCGAGTGAGACGACACTCACTTAGTGATCATTAAAGTAACCATTTCCTATCCTCTTTGCTCAGTCACCATTTGTTGACAGGAATTGGTTGAGGCTTGACTTTTCCACAGTGACACTATTGAGCCTTATACGTAGGTTGTCCCATTGAACCTAGTTCTTGGGATCTTCAATCTTTTTAGGGTGGATTTTCCTTTATAAAACTCATATTTTAGCAGACGTAAGCCCCATTCCTTTATTTTGTGACGCAACATGGTCTATGATAATAACCTAGTCGTGATCAGTTGTCTTATAGAATTGTGTCAACGACAAATATATCGACTCTTGTTATTATACATTGTATTCTCTGCTCTACCAATAGCAGAATTACTATCACAGTAAAGTGTAATGGAAGATACGGGTTTATCCCAATCTGGAATATCCTCGAGGAAGTGGCGAATCCATTCCGCCTCTTATCAAGTTTTATCAAATGCAATGAACTCAAATTTCATTGTGGATTTAGCAATAATTGTTTGTTTCGAGGATTTCTAGGAGATTGCTGCACCAGCTAGTGTAAACACATGTCCACTAGTTGATCTTGAATTAAGAGTATCAGATATCTAGTTTGCGTCTGAGTAGCCTTCTACTACAGCTGGATGTCTGCTATAGTGCAGGCCGTAATCTTGAGTGTATTGTAAGTACCTAAGTACGCGAACGATGGATTTCCAGTGCTCGCAACTAGGATTACTTGTATACGTACTCAACTTGCTTATTGCGTAAGCTATGTCGGATCTTGTACAGCTTATCAGGTACATCAAACTACCAATTATCCAAGCATATTTGATTTGGGATACACCAAAAAATTGCTTTTTCTTGTGATTGGATTATCTTAATTCTCCTCCTCCCCCCACCAGCCAACAATACATTAATGTCTTGGTTACACATAAAGGGTCCATTATTTTCATTTTGATCTGTCCTAAATAATTTTTCTTTTATTTTTTAAAAAAATAATTATAAATTTTAATTATCTTTTAAATTTTACTCCCTCCGTCCCAAATCAATTGGTTCATTTGATTTGGGGCATGGTATTTAAGGTAAAGAGTTTAATATGATATTATTGGTAGTTTTAATATATATGATTAAAATAAATTTAAAATATGTGTTAAAATGTTTTAAATATTATAGAGTGTGTCAAATATATGCAATATAAATATAATTTTGTAGAGAATAAAATTTTAAATAATACAAATAAACAAAAATATATATTTATTTATTTATAATTAAGATAAAACTAATTTTATAAAAGAATAGAAGTTTTAAATGTAATAAAAATATTTGTTTATTGAAAACATAAAAATAAAGAAGTTTTAAGTGCGTCCTAGCGTGATGTATTATGTTATATGTTATTAAGTTAATTAAATTGATTTATAATTATAAATTATTAATAGATTTATTAAATTTTACTAAAAATAAAAATGTGTCAATTGAAGTGAGACGGACAAAAAAGAAAAGATGAGACAATTGAAATGAGACGGAAGAACGATAATATATAATATTCTTAATTTTAATTAAATTATTTAATTATCTTAATCTGAATATATAATTATTGATATTATATAATAATTATTGTTATTAATAAACTTCTTAATTATTTACAAAATATAATTTTTCTAAATTACCATACACTAATTTGGACACTTTATGTGTAAGAATTAAAAAATAAATAAATAAATAAAATAGGAGCAAAAAGGAAGAAAGATTATGCTCTTG